CACTATAACTTCACTGAATCATCGTTTCTTTTTCACTGTTATTAATATCTTAATTATTAGATATTAATACATCTGGTATTATGGTATTCTGGTATTTCGTCGAATTTAAAATGAAATAACTGTTTCTATCTTATTTTTTTGTTAGAATGAGTATAATCAAGAGGGCTACTGATACTGTGTTGGAAAAATAAGGAAATTAAGGGCATATTTTTTGGTATTTATTATAATTTTGCTAATATCTTCGGTTTGAAAGAAGATATCAAGAGGTTTTCGCTGGCTTTTTAAGCTTTTACTACTCTTTACTATCAGCTAAAATTACATATACTATCGTACTTAACTTTTTTGAAAAAACGCGTTATGTTTATTAAATTGTAAGAAAGCGCCCCCTAGCGTCTACGTTCAAAACCCTATTATTATGATTTTTATGGTATAATATATAGTAAGAAACGCTCTTTTAAACGAGCCCTCGCTTATTGGATTCTGATCATCCAGTCCGGAGTTATTAACATTTAAATAAAGATAGATCTAAACTTCCCCCACCACTTTATTTTAGCAGATACGGGAAAATGGTTCTAACAAAAAAAAATCCAAAATTGACTGAAGATTATGAAGCTATTATTTATAGTACCCATTATCTGGGCAAAATTCTGTAAAAATTATATTTGTTATTTTTCATAGCAGTTGCGCCCCCTAGCGGCCATTTTACAAACTTGAAAATAATTTCCAGCAATTTCTCATAGCCCCTTTAGTTATAAATATTTTTTTCCCTAAGCCGTACGCTTAATACATTCCGAGATACAGCCGAGAGCTATTCTTAGTGGGATACCCGGTACAATATTTTATCTACGTCTAACTATAAAAACACATAATGAATTTTAAAAATTCTTGTACTTAACTACCCATATAACACACAATATCCGCAGGATATTCATAGAATGTCGGAATGTCCCATTATAAGATCATCTTATAAAGACATCTATAGGATATCCTCCAGACATCCTGAAATCCGGTAGATGTCTCAGAATAAAATATCCTATGGATATCTCTGTCATATATCTAATGTACATCCAGCTGAGATATTCAAACATGCTCATGATAATAAAATATCCTAACAATATCGTCTAGATATTTAGGAAAAATAAATAATGTACTACTTTTTATATTACATAAAATGCAATAAACCATACAGATAGATATATATTACGTCAAGGCAACAAAATATCCTGTTGATATCTTCTGGATAATCTGGATATTTATGAGCTTGGCCACTCCCAGTAATACAGAGAATTTAAAACGCCCGCGCCAAAAATTTCCCACAATCCATCTCGACCACAGAACACACTAAAGAAGAACGCTAACTCCCATGCATTTTTTAGTTTCAAAACGGTTTCAAATTTGTAAAGAAATCTGTAATCTGTATATTGAAGTGGCGCCATCTAGCCACCCATCTCGACAGTTGTTTATTTTTGCATCGTGTATTATTCAGTTCTTTGATTTAGTGAAATTCGAGGTGAATTCGGTCGTTTGTCGATATTGGATGGGCTTAAAAATGACTGAAACTAATAAAACTGGTTGAGTTTGACTTAGTTTTTTCTTATACTCATAGTTCTAGCCTTGTTCTAGCAGAAATTCTATCCTAACCTCAACCAGGGCCAGTCAACTGAGATATACGACCTTGAACGATCTTTTTTTGGGGTAGTAATTTCCTGGGGCGCTAGATGGCGTATTTTTATTTTAATTTTTCTAGTTGCCTAACAATTGCGTACAAAATTGTTTTTATAGTTGCCTAAATAAGCCTATTAATTATGTTCTGTCATTGTGCTGTATGTCAAATCAGTTTTCCGTTTCCGGCTTCCTCCTTCCTCTTCAGTTGTGTTTTGCAATTGAACGGAGATGTGCGTTTCGCTGTTTTCTGGTTGTTTGGCTGTGTTTTTTGCAATCTTCATTTTACAATCGTGATTTTGTATTTTTGAATTTTTTGAACTTTGTTTTGTGTTTGATTTTTAAGATCTTATTAAAGGTAAGGTTTAAGTTAAAGGTCTTTGATTTATCTAACAATTTTATTTAATAATCCGAGAAAGTGAGGTGAGGTAACCTAACCAAGTCCAAATGTTTGTGAATTTTATTTTTTAACAATGTAATATTTACAACGCCATATATTTTTACAAAAAAATATTGATCAACTCCATATTTTTGTACATAAATTCCACAATGTGATATTACACAATTGTTCAAGTCCATAATGTAAAAAATACACGTAAATAAAACATTGTTTCTAATGGACGTCACTTTCTCTTGTATTCCAACGATATTTGTTATGTGTTCTTAAATCTGGTACTATAATAAATATTATACTTTTAAATCTGTTGTTTTATTTGTCTGTAAAATGTTTCATGGTATAATTTTCTGTAAATTAAAATAAATTATTTATTGTAGGTTTTTATGCACATAAAATGATATAAGCAAACCATTTAACACTTTACAATAGTTTAACCTGGTTTAACCTTTATATATAAATCCTTGTTTTTTACCATTTGACTTGTTTGCCAATTTGGGACCAATCAGATGACTACACATTATTTTGTAGAAATCTGATTGGCTCTAACTGGCGAACAAGTCAATACGTTTTGCTTAAAAATAAATTACATCTATTTAAATTTGCCGCCACATTTGTTACTTTCCTGGGTGGCTAGATGGCGCCACTTCAACATACAGATTACAGATTTCTTTACAAATTTGAAACCGCTTTGAAACTAAAAAATGCATGGGAGTTAGCGTTCTTCTTTAGTGTGTTCTGTGACCTCAACTAATGTCGAAAAACGACGAACAACTCAGGGTCTCACAATGAAAAATTTGTGACAAAATTATAGGTGAAAATTTGTTGAAAATCGCTTGTTCTTTATCCCTAAACCCATTTTCGTGTTTGATCTATTCAAACAGAAATCCTATTTTTGGGTTTAAATTGTGAGTTTCTGGAATGTGTGGTGTTAGAAATTATACCTGTATCCTGTGTGCTAACTTTGATGTAAACTGTTAGACATAAACTGCTAGACTCCATAAAGGGTAGTATAATCTGGTATAATACCATATGATCTAAAAAACGGCGTCAGAGGTGGCTTGGAAATGAAGATAGCTGTTACTTGGTACGTAAAATTATATGGGGAATGTCATCGATCGTAATTTTCAAGCCAATTGAACGCCGTTTTTTTTCGATGGTACAGTATAAATTGAAAGCTCTTAACTTATACAAATAAACTTCTAAATTTTGACGCAAAATTCATTGACATGTAGGTATATTTTAGAGCTGTTAATAAAAATATCCAATGAATAAAGTCAAAATGTGGCTAAATAAAATTAAATCGCGAACGTTTTTACTATAAACTAAGGATGAAGTAAGTATTGTCAAATAACAGTCCTCATATAATGTCCTAAAAATATTCTATAATACTCCCAACATCATCCTTGTATTATCCTAGAAATATCCCAAATAATCGTAAAAGGCTTGCTAGGGATGTCTTGAAGATGACTTTTTTTGTCCCACTTGGATATCCCATCAATATCCTCCTCTAGTTTTTGGATATCCCTAAGATATTTACTATATCCTTGGTGGATATCCTCAAGATATCTATAGGATTGTGTTGTGTTATATGGGATATACCTATCCTAAAAATCAATTACCTTAATACCTTTGTTCAAATAACACCATGCATGGCAATATCAATATGACAGTAGGTAAATAATATTGATGTCACTAGTTTAAAAAATGAGCGGTTCGGAAAGTATTCCCTCTGACATTGAAGAAGAGGCATTCAGAGCCATTTCTGGATTGCTTCCAGCAAGATCGAAACAGGAGTATGAATATACATACTCTAAGTATAAAAAATGGTGCACCGAAAAAAAAAGTACACAACTATGGAAATGAAAAGGTACTCATAACATATTTTTCCAATTTAGTGCAAAATAAACGTTTTACAAAATATTTTTTTCTCTTTGGTAGTCATCTATACAAGGAGTACGGTAATGAAAATGCGTGAGTTAAGAAGCTCTTAACTCACTCAAAATGCGAGTTAGGAGTTTCTTAACTCACTGATGTAGATAAATAAACATAAAATCAACATACGTAAAAATTACTTCTACTTAGATAGGTATATTTGCCCGTTATATTTTAATTTTAAATTCATTACTCCTCTTGAGAATCATCATGGTCTAATCTGATTAAATCTATTAATGTATAAGCCAAATCTAAAACATGTAATGATATTTGTTTTGTTTTTTTCTCTATTAAGTATTTCCTACTAAGTAATTATAATTTTGTTACCTTTAATACAAATTCCGCAAAATATGATAAACGATATTCCAAAATATATAAGCAATATTTTGATCCAAACATTTATATCTAATTGAGCTTCAAGCATGATTAAAGTTAAAAAATATTTTTATTAAAAATGTCAACCCTATAAATAAAATAATCAAATAAGTGTGTCTGTGGCGACATCTTACAGTAACTCCGAAATATAAAATACCTTAATTTATTCATTTAAAATTACAGTCATCATTGTTGAGGATGCAAGACGGAAAAAAGTATTCTATAATTCTATTGATCCATTTCGTGCTGCCATCTTTTGTTGCCTGACAGAAGCTTTCAATTACAGCTTTTTATTTTACAAAAATAATTAATGAAAAGTGATGAAAATGTGACCTGTGAAGAAAAAAATGTGCCTGGACAGGTATACAATTTACATTTTGTTAATTTATTGTACAAACATTTTTTGTAATTTGAAATAGATTTAATTTTTAACAAAAATGTAAAATTAATTATTCTGAAAAGCCGTCAATGCTAGTATATTCTGTGCGTCAAATGGCGTCAATGTAATTTAAATCTGGTGTAAATAATAACCGTAAATTTATGGTTTATGACATGTCATAAAAGATAATAAAATACAGGTTTCTGTTTGATGACTTAAGCCCTGGAATTACCACTGATTTTCAATATTTTCACTTAAGTAATTTAAGTGTAATTGCCGTGGTAATTTCTTAAATTAACTGCAGTAAATTGAAATCCTAACCTTACTTACGTGATGTAAAATATTAAAGACTGAAACATATTTTTAAACATGAAGTGATTATTTAATGAATGTTATTATATTAGAGTTAATATTAGGTATTATTTAATTATTGTTATTATATGCATAATTATTTATTTATCTTATCGGTAAGTGTCTTGTAAATGTACTATGTTGTTACTAACAAAACTAACTTTATTTAATTTTTGAATGTTAATAGGTAAACCATAATATTCAACATTTTAAAATTTACAATTTTTTTTAGTTACTTATATACTCATTGTGTCTATTTTTAAAACATAATTTATTACCATGTCATAAGATGTTTTATGTTATATTTATTACAGCTAGATAATGTATTCAAAACAAACTGTAATTTATTTTAAAAATTGGACATTTTGTAGACCAGAAAAAAGATAATAAACTCGTTCATTTTAATCTTGATTATTAACCAATAAAAGTTTATACCTATAATATGAGGATTATAACACGGCTTTATACATAAAACCTCTGGTCAATTATCTATTTTTATCTAGGAGTTTACTTAAAAACCACACATATTTTTTTGAGAATTTCCATGCTAAGGTTTTGTTCCTAAGTACCTATGGGGGCATCATAAAAAAAACATTGCAAATACCTATCTATATGTCCAATGCTTTTCCAAACTGTAAAACTAATGAGAAATAATATAAAATAAAAATAGGTTTCTAAAAGGTATAGAATGATGTGAGGTAGCAGTGGGCACATCTAGATAATAAACTTAGTTTGGTCTGGATTGGGATTAATAATCACATAATAATGTGCTTTTATCTATAATAAAATTATAGTTTAGAATACATGGATTAATGTTTATTAATCGTATAATATGAATTTCATTCTTCTGGCTTATAAATGGCGAATGCGCCAGGTTAATTCATATATCTAAGTATAAGATTTATTTATATTGAATAGAAATAATTCTTGTAAATACATAGGAATGTGATTCTATACAAAGTATTCTGTTAATAATATATTTTTTATACAGTGTGCCACATTGGATTTTATTTCTATTATTATCATAATTATGTTTTGCTTCTACTATACTTGTGTTACTACTTATTGTTAATCTAAGGCATATCTAAGGTTACTACGAACTAATATGCGAACTAATCGGTTCTAGTGTTAAGATTTTTTTTTTTAATGTCACAAAAGTATTAATTTTTGCAACGTGATTAACAATATAAAAAAGTCATTTTAAGGCCTAGGCATAAACATATGATAAAAGTAAAGCATTTTTACGCCGAAGCACAAAAGTAAGAAAATATATTATTCAGAGAGATATTATTAAACTGATATAAAGTGTCAAATTCAACGAGCGTAACCATAGTTTCTCGATATATAATTACTTGCTACAAAAAGTATCATTTTTACTCCTAATAAAACAGTATACCTACTATTTTTCAAACGACTCAAAATTATAAATTTTTGCTACGTGATTGACAATATAAAAAGTCATTTTAACGCTTAGGCATAAAAGTAAATCATTTTTACGCCTAAATCTTTGAATAAGAAGACTAAGGAAGGAGTATATCAAAAATCTTAGGTCCACCGCGATGGGCCTCGAATATGGCCGACTTAAATTCCGGTTTGTCAGTGCCGTTCTAATTTTATTTAAAAAATGTAAAACTATGATGTAGGGTAGACGTGGGGTAGACTCAATATATTTTTTTTAGTATTGAAAATACTTCTGGGCGCGTTTATATGGGACCCATCTTTGAAAAAGCGACATGCTAGATGCGATGTGGTACGGCCGAGTTCAATAACCTGCCTAATCATCAACTTGTCAACACGTATAGAGCAAGGACGTTCAAGGGCCGAAATGAGGTCTTATCAGTAGGCCAACTATTTTATGGATATGGATGTTTAGTATGGGCCGGTGGATAAAAAAAGCCAATATTATAAAAAAGAATATGCGTCAAGGCATATGGGTTGTTAGGTACAGGTTGACTATTTTAATCTAACTCTTTCCGTATGCGAAGCAAGGGGCAAATTATACGTGAAAGAGCGGAATAACATAAATAATAAATTTAGACTAATGCAATATTTTTTCTTGGCGCGTAGGATAAGATAAGTAAATGCATTAAAGGGAATAATTAATTAAATCATTAGGTTCCAAAACATAATAACCCGGGTCTCATCGGATCTGTTGATACATTTTTCTAAAATTTAGGCTATTAGGACTTATATATTTTATGATTATTTTTTTAATTAACAACTTAGGACAAAGCAATAGCTTGCATGGTATCCACCGCCAACAGGCGTAAAAACAAATGAATCCAAGGCGTTGCCAAATATTTATTGGGATAAGTTTTTATCGTTCGAATATTGTTTTAAATAATAATTATCATTTAATTAGTGCTAACTTATCAAAGTTCACAACACGGAGAAATTTCAACAAAATCGGCCAACGGATCTTTGAGATATTAATAAAAAAAGGTCTATTAGGAAACACCTTGACACCCTGTATCTTTAAAATTATACATTTCCGGACACATGTTTATATGAACTTTTTACCTTAAAAAACACTCAAAGAATCACCTCCTGAAGTTTGGCCAGATACTTAATTAACACCCTGTATTTAAAAATGGCTAGCTGTGTTTTAGTAAGCTATGTTTATGTTTATTTTAATGAGAAAAAATACATTTCATAAAAAATAAAAAAACTCATAATACAAATACTAGGTATACCCTAATTAATTAATTCTAAATGTATCTAAATAGGCACTTTAATAATTGAAAAATCGACAGAGCACTTAAAATCACTTCATAGAATATACCAAATATGCAAAAAAGTCCAATAAAAAAACCACAAATGGCACATTAAAATCTGCATTATCTGAAATCAAACTATACCCTAAAAGGCTAATAAAATAATAGTGACAAGACTAAATAAAAGTGACAAGACGCCGACATCGATAACGCGATGAGCAGTTTTTAATAATTATTCCGAGTTATTATTACATAAGTTGTTTTACAATTATTGTAATATAGTAGCATTCCTTAAAATAATTTTTTATTTAAGTATTGTTAATATAGTCATATTAATGATTATAGCCCGTATGATATCTAAAATAAAAAATCAAGCGTGTTTTTATCAGAATTATTAAATGACTAGCGTGTACCAGCGACTTCGTTCGCATCGAATTAATCATTTGTAATGATGATGATAAAACAAAGCAAGAATTTCCATTAACATACAAACTGGCTGGATAAAATTTTCTCACATTTATGTCAGCATGAGAAAAAACAATATGGCGATATTATTATACAACTTGGTAATATTTGAGGGGTAGTTTCATCTTGTTGGAATTTGACTTCAAAAAATCCGTTTGCCAAAAATAAGCTTTTTACGTCAAGCAGTTTAAGCAGAAAATCGTGGTTAAGAAATTACCCAACTTTTTGGAACACCCTGTATGATATTTTAAAAAATTTCAAAATATGTAAAAAACCAAATAAATTATGCTTGTCCAAGCGTTTTCTCGAAAGACTAACCGTTTTTTAAATAACAAATATTGTAATATTTGAGGGGCGTTTTCACCCTCTTGGAATTTGAGATTCGAGAAACCCCTCCTTATCGAACTTCTACACCCCACAGTCAATCCGTTTGCCAAAAATCAGCTTTAAACGTCAAGCAGTTTAAGCAGAATCGTGATTACTCAATGCGTGTGGTCATATTTTATGAAACACCCTGTGGGGGAAACATAGTGTCGTGTCGTTTACAAAAAATCCATCACGATAAAAATCAAATTGCGCTGCGAACGGTTCACTTGTTCATTATACGTATCTGGAATATATTTGTGAATGGCGATTAGCGATACGTTTACGTTAGACTGCCGGAGTGCTGACGTCACGAATATCAATTACTTTCCATACAAGGTTTAGTTCTTTTATATTTCTATTGAGCTCTTCCAAATGACGTCACAAGTTAATATAAAATTTAAAACAACAGGTGATTGCCGACAACCGCCGACTTGTGTCTGGTATTTTCAATACACCTATGACGGTTGCGCATGTTGCAAAATCTGTGAATTTTTTATTTTACGTTGTGAATTAATGTTGATAGTTATTAAAATTGTTATAAAAATATAAAATTTTAATAAAAATAGATAAGTTATAATAATTATTTATGACCATGAACATCCGATACGCTACTGAAGCAGGTAAGTCCAATTGACGTATCTAAATTCTTTGACATCTAATCTTTGACAAGTAGTAAATAAAAGGAAAAATGCAAGAAAAAATATATAATTAGTTAATTTAAGTGAATTTCATAAATGATCGGTTTACTACACGTATGTATATTATATAGTCACTTACTAGCGAAAAGTTTTTCCATTATTTCACTCGATTTTTGCCGAGATCTACCACGCGCTACACAACCAATTATTTTAGAGTATATTTCGATAAATCGCGATGGTGTCACTGTTAATTTAAGTTCTGCCACAATTTCCATCTAGATTTACTACCTTTGTACAACTATCAGTAGTTGAATAAATAATAAATAACATAAAATAAGCTCCGTAAAGACTGACAAATCCACAAAATCTCAAATCAAATTCAAATGTGTCAAATGAATCGTCAAACAGAACTGTCAAGGATCCCCACCCTAGAGTTCTTTTTCCGCCCGCCATGCATGAATCTATCTATGTATTCGTTATGCTCCTTCCTTAGTCTTCTTCCTAGATCATATACACTACTGGCAAAGGAATATTATCAATAGGAGGTTTTCAATGCGATAAAAAAAGATGGTAAGGCTGCAAAATACACTGCAGTGCAACAGAGACGGATAAAGTGTCTTTTCCCTACCATCGTATAGGGGAAGTGATCATAGAAGTGATACGACGAGAGAGCCCCTGCGAGAGGGGGCGCCGGGCGGGTCTTTAAGACGCTTGTGTGGGGGCTACCGCCTACTAATAGAACAGAATCGAAAAAATAGAAACAGGACGGACAGTGTTGCCATTCAATTAAATCGAAATTATGTTGGCTTGTCAAAATCCTAAATCTTCTAATCCCATTATCTTGCCTACTTAATGAAATATTAAATAAAGTACGAAACAATTTTACGAATGTTTTCTCTAGGCACATAACTTCTTTCTAAAACGAAAAGTAACATGCAAAACTTTGATATCATTTCTAAAATAGCAAGTGCAATTCTATGAAATGGCAATACTGTACGATCTTCCTAGCAGTCGCCCCGACACAGTCGGTCGGCGGCGGCGCTTCACAAAGCCGCGGCTGTGACAAAGGAATTAGGCCGAAAAAAACTTTATAAGGAGTAGACGAACAGGGTTGCCGGGTTTGTTAGATTATAATTCCATACGAGAACAAAATTCTCGGTAGATCTTCAACAAAAATTAAAAGTACAGAAACGAAATAAAATATAATATTTAAGTCCAAAATTAGCATTCCTATGTGTCGTAATAATAGATCACTCAAATAAAATACAAATATAATAAATATAACAAGAATTAGAAATAGCTAGGTATATTATTTAATATTAAAAAAAATATTGAATTAAATAATATTAATATATTAATAAAAACATATAAAACTATAACAAGTAGGGATAGCAGTCACAAATTAGTGTAGCAGTCACTTTTTACCTTTGTACAAATTTTGATCAGTGATATCTAAAATTAATTTCATTTCAATGGGAAAGCTGTAGCAACTCTCAACTCTTTTTTCATATTAATATATTTTTTTGACGGGAAAATCACTAAAATATTTGTCGGAATTTAGGTTTCTTAACTTAAATTTTGTTTTTTGTTTACATTTTTTGGGGGAAAATATGGGTTCAACTTTAGTAGATGAATGAAATAAAATCTTTTCAAAAGATATCAACTTCTTCGGGCATGTCGCCAATACCGCGCCTAATAAGGAGTAATAAGGATTTTTAGGAACATATCTGTAACTCTGCAACTACACAGAACGATGACCTGTATGTGTGTTATTACTAAATAAAATTTAATGAAACAATAATAAAATCAGATTATACAGATTCCAACGCGGCAGTCGCTTAATTTTTAGTCAAATAAGTCAGCTTTTTAAAAGTGCTTCTATTGTAAAAACTAAAGACGCAGTTGAATATATCGTTAGATTTTTCTTTAAATCGGTAGATCGGTAGCTTACAGACGAAACCGGTAGACCTGGCAACTCTGTGATGAACTGACGGGAGTCGGAATAGCGAGGTGCGGAGGCGCGGAGGGAAATAAAATAATGGCGATAAATAAAGGGCAGGAGATGGGTATCATGAGTGGATGGGAGGTGGCGGAATTTCCAAAATTTGTTATCTTATTGGAGTTTGTCTAAGTAGACAGTCGTAGTGGAAGTGGAAACGGGGAAGTTGTTGTCCATCTCTGTTTAAGCATAGACTTTTTATAGGCGTTTCATTCCAATGCATGTAATTCCTATGCCTAGAGATCCATTGCCGGGCCTGTATACTTACGTGGATAAGTAAATCACTATGGAGACTGTCCCAATCATATCAACGACTTCCATTTATCTTCTTTTTTTGTTGCACATGCGGTGCTTCTACTCTATCTATCCTTGTCGAGGACCTATCGCCAAATTTGAACATTAATTTTAGAAATTTAATTTGTAAAATGCATATATTTCAACAATAATTGAATACTATCACAAAAATTAAATTATATAAAAAATAAATTAGCCACTCCGTACGAATATCAATATTCTTAGGAAATCTAACCAGAAAGTATGCATGTGGATTAATATACATAAAAGAACAACTGAATACTTTACTTGCCTGTGAAAAGATAATTCGGGGACATTTATATTATAATTTCCACACACCAAACACTTTCTTGTCATTTTACGAGTATTTACCCAAAAATTAAAACTCAACGAATAAAGAATAGAAATATAATTGCACAAACTTAAAATTAACTTCTCACTGAACACACTTGCATCCTTGGCTATATAAAAGGGGTCGATAAAAGAGTAATTAATACAATGTTCAAAATAAAAAACGCAAAAAACAAGCGTCGTTACACAATGAAAATAACATTATGACATATGATTATGACAATGAAAAGTTGGTTTCCATAACAATGTATAATTTGTACTTTCTAAACCGGATAAAATTGTAATTATTTTGGAAATACGTCCCACCTTTAATGCGCATGCTTAAAGTCAGGTCCTCGAGAAAGACAAACCTATTGAACGTTTCATAAGTGCAATAAAGAAGGTTTGAAAATGGCATGTCGTGATATTGGGGACATATTTTTTAATGCTAAACTTATGGCGTTGCTTTATCCACGTAAGTATATATGATCTAGGGTCTTCTTATTCAAAGGCCTAAACACAAAGATACGAAAATATATTATTAAAACTGACATAAAGTGTCAAATTTAACGAGTGTAACTATAGTTTCTCGATATACAGGGTGATTCATAAATAAGTGCAAATATTTTTAGGGGTGGTAGATATATTTCGACCCCAGGAATACGCCTATGAGGTTTTTATCGCAAAAAAAAGATGTTGAAAATCGCGCATTTTTTAAATTTTTTAGTGCAAATTTTTCCACGGTATAATTTCTTAATCTCTAATATTACCATGGTTACGGCTTTATACTATATGGTTACGACACGAAAAGGGATAGAAATAGAGAAAAAAATCTGCTGGATCTCAAAATTTTTTAAAAATAAATCTTAAAAAACATTTAATTTTTTAATTTTTAACTTGAATAACTCGATTATTTTGGACTTATTTGAAAAACAGTAAAGAGAAAATATGTTTTTAGTGAGATCTACCAGACTTATTACTTTTTAAATATTAGTATACAGGTATTGCTTTTAAATATTTTTATATTATTTGCAACGTTTGAAATTGGCCAAAAAAATATATGTGACGTTTGAAGAAAATGCATGTTCTATTCGGAGTAAAAATGTACGAAAAGTATAATTTTTACTCCTAATAAAACAATAAACGGGTAAAACGCGGCAAAACAATAATACTAATGTCTCAAAAGTGGCTCACCCCTATATTTTTTTTTATTTTTACACTTTAAAAAACGAGGTTTCGTATGTTAGTATATGATATAAATTAGGATTTATAGACGTATTTATTTGTTTTTGGTTACTTACTATTTCTCCGGAAATGAAAACAAATTTTGATTTTTAAATGGCACCATCGGTATATTTTTACTTTATTCGATAGAAAACGACACCGAATAGAATGACATATCATATGTCAACTTAAATTTCATTCTAGAGTGCCATGGTTGTGTTAAAAATACGAATTTTTAATCAAGGAGCCTTGGAAAAATAGATTTGATCTTTTATTGTTTTCGGTGTCTTGTCCTGGCTGGTTAAAAGATGCCCAAATCGTAGGTATTTTTAATCATATCTCAATTTTTTTTTAAATTGAAACAAAGGTGGCTCATTAGCATATTTGGAAACAACATTTTTTCACGAATAATTTGGTACCACACACTTGGTATTTTGAGGCAAATTGTCGTTATAAACCGCAATGTTACAATTTCAAATAAACCATATGCAAGAATGTGAAAAGTTGACATATTATATTTTATTCTATTCAGAGTGTCATTTTCTATCGAAAAAAGTAAATAAATACCGAGTGTGGCATTTAAAAAACGAAAGTTGTAGTCATTTCCGATGAAACAGGAAGTGACCAAAACCAATTGAATACGTCAACCAATCCTAATAAGTCCTAGTATGTCATATACTAACATACCAAATCTCGTTTTTTTATTTGAAAAAATAAAAAAAGCTATAGGGGTGTTATTATCATGATTTTTATATTTCACTTTATTCTAATTTATAACATTTGCGGTAAATAAATATACCCATTTAAAAAAATGGTTTTTGTAGCTATACATGGTGATTGAAATATTACCAGTTGTATTTTTTTGTCAATGAGTTTGCCATAATGATAGAGTCTATATATATTAGTAGAAATGAAATAGGTAACCTAGAAAAGTCGTTCATTTTCCCAAACCTGTCCAAGATATGGCTCGACGTGTTCTGTAACAATATTAAATATAATTTAACAAGGTTAAAAATTAGTTCTCTCAAGTCGAAAAACTCCATAACTTGATCTCCAATTCCAGCTTAACACAATTCTCTTATTTTTATTATGTTTTCTTTTTCAGCAATTCCCAATCCGTCCGAATCAGCGCAAAAATCATCTAATCTCGTAAAACAAATCCGATAGCCGGCTGCGCCCTCTGTCCGCCGTCCGTCGCAAACCGGAAATGGGATACGCTTCCGCCGTGGAATTGGCGGACGACGAGGAACAGACGCAATTACCGCCGACGTACGTCGTGGTCAAGGTCGTGCCGGACATCCACGAGAGGGCGCTACAGTGGCTGGTGGGCAAGATCAGGGCGAAGAAGAGCGATGGGGGTGGGGAGCTGGTTATCATGATGGAGGAGAAGTATTCGTCTGAGCAGGTATAGGAGAATGATTTTCTTTCCTTAATATTAAAAGGTAGTCAATAATATTTAATGCTTATTATATTAAATATTAAAAAATTATGTGTGCTCATATTGGAAGTGAAACTTCTTACTAACAGCTATTAAATCGAAGGATTTGAAGGACATGTTTGAAAAAGTGTAGTTTGAAATGTTGAAAAAGTAATAAATTAAAAATTATTAAAGAATTTGATTCATTTTCACAAAATTTGTATTAAAATGACCACCTGTCTGTCTGATGACTCTATTCGGGTACCTCTACACACGTGCCGCGTTTGGTTCCAATCGACCCATAATTAAGAATAATCCTGATGATTTCGTTCATTTAGAGGCATCGGTTCGAAACGTTGAGGGCGTCATTTTGTAGCCCGTCCCCAATTATGCCGAAATAGATCCACATTTTTCTTTAATATCAAATCCTTAGTCCCACTCTGATGAAGATGCAAACGAAACGTCGTATCCAACTTTTGAGGATGGGACCGTGTGAACCGTCGCTTACATAGCCTACCCACTAAAATTGGTCGCGATCGGACGACATCAACTTTTGGACGTTTCTTATGTCAGAACTATCTGCCACAGTGACACGTGTCACGTGTCGTATACGGTCAAGTTGACCTTGGTCCAATCTATCGACATTCTTCTTATCACGCCCTCTCCTCCAAATGGCAATTGTGGCTCTGGAAACTGCAGCTCAGTTTTGTAGTGCATGAAACGTCGTCAAAAGATGGTGCTCTTCGAACCCATCTACATTCCGAGTTTCAGCTTCTTAGCTCACATGGGGCCCGAATTACAACGCTCCATAGACTTATTTCAACTTCCTCATTGGCGTTCCACGGTTACCATTTTTCTTTACCACTACGAAAAGTCTAAAGCGATATGACAAGTAATTTATGAATATTACAGTTGAGGGTTGGAACCTTTGGTGTTAGAACAGCCAAATAAAGCATTAATTCTCCACAATACACCAAAACACTTTTACTTTTACACTGGACGTGCGATTCGCTAAGAGTAGTTTAAGTTTGTAGATATTAGTTTAATTTTAATCAAGTGTTTTGGGGTATTATGGTGAATTAGTGTTTTATCTTGCTAATTTTTTAAATACTATATAAGTACTATAAAAAGTTTTTTAATAAGTTACAAATAAAAGTTAGAGTCAATTTCTTAGCGTATTGTCTAATCAAGCTGTCTTTTGTGATGTTTTTAATAAGATAGGAAGATTGCTGGTTTCTATTTTCGTTTATTTGAAAGTATCAGTAGTATTTTTTGTTATGTGATAGTTGGTGATAGTAGCTACACTACTATAATATAATAATTATCGCATATTTCAAAAAAAGTAATTATTACATATTTCTAAATGAACCTTGCATTTTTCTGACTTCCTCCTGCTGGTTTTTTGGGGATATTAGGCTACGTGCTGGATATGTAATTTTTAGTCGGCCAACTTTAGTTGCAAAACTGAAACCAATACATTCTTATGGCTATTTGATTGCATTGCGTAGCCATAAGCTATGCGATGACAAGCAATTTTTAGTCGGCCGACTATTTAGTTGCAGATTTGTAACCAGTATGCTCTTATGGAGCCGCGCTCACATACAATTAAATAGTCGGCTGATCGGCTTCATAAGAATGTATCGTTTTCACATAACTAAATAGTCGATAGTCAACCGACTAAAAATTGCATGTCAGCGCATAAGCTTATTGTTTCGAATTTCCCTTTACAGTATTTAGTATTCCACTTATTTAAAAACGTAATTCAGAGAATTGAAGGTGTCTTGTTTTTCAAATTACCTAATATTATTTGTTAAAAAAATATGCGATAATTATTTTGAATAGTTTATATCATTAAATTAGGCGATGAACAGTGGTTGTTACTAATTATTGTTTTTTTTTCAGGAATATACCTTCCATATATCCGCTACTAAGATCAAATTACTAGAAATAGCCGAAGAATTAGAACTAATTAAAAGAGATGCTCATGGGAAACTTAGGGAATTTACAGTGGCCCAGCTCGATGACTTTCTTCCTAATGATAAGACTATAGATGATCTCCTAACTCTCTCTGATAAACAAACTCTAGTCACTCACGAGCTGGAAAATATTAGAGCATCATCCGATGATAAATTTATACCAGGTATGTACTTATTGAGAACTCCTCACCTATATAATCCTATTGTTTTGGGCATACCTCAAAGTTCATTGTTGTGTACCTATCCTATATTCTTATCGGGCAACGGCCCAGCTACGTCGAAACACCGGTTCCCATTAGAACACCGAAGTTAAGCGACGTAAGGCGATACTGGTGGATGGACGGGTGACCGGTTCGAAACTCTCTATCGTGCTGTTATCCAATAAAAAGGCAAAAGTGTAAAATCTATTGACACACACTGCTCATTCACTCCGGTTCGAGGCCGGATGAGATCGGATATTTCATGAGTAAGAGTCGATTTAGACACCTGCCAAGTCGGTAGGCCATTGACCATAATATGGCCGAGGACCGCGGTTCGGATTCCGCGTAAACAAACTAGGCCCCGTCCAGATTAGCCCTGGCAGCAAAAAGGAGACTTTAACTGAAATATTTACTTTACTTATATTCTTATCTTCATCTATACAAATGAGGTATTATAAAAGTATCATACTTCAGCCACAAATTAACTACAACAGATGCGAAAGAAAGCGACTGCATCGGAAACCGCTCGGCAAACCCGACACGCCTATTGAGTAGTGTAAATACACCAGTCGTTTAGTCCGGAAACCTATGCTGTGTCGTGTTCGCTTGCTGGAATGACATAGTGCGTGGTTATATGTTTCTTTTTAAAAACGCGTGTAGGATTTTTGTTGAACTTTTGAACTGTTATTTCTAAGTTTTGGTAGTTTGGTTTGGTAGTTTGATCTTATTTAAAACGGGATGCAAATGTGTTTATTTATATGGAAAAAAAAGATATTTATAGTATAAAAAATTAATTTATTTAACAAAATTTAATTAAAAATGTGACAAAATAGTTACCTTTCTATTGGTTCTATCGGACTTTTTTGGACTATATAAATCTTTATTTTTAAACTTTAATACATCAAATATCTTCAATCTAATAAATCATTTAATGATGCAAATAAGAGGAAATTTCTCACATGGGTGGTAAAAGTTTATAGTTTTCATTGTATCAAACAGCCTCTGAGAAATGTTTTCAACTCAAAATGCCTTTAATTATGTTTGACTACATCATTAAAAAGGATCTTCAAATACATCAATGTGATATTTGTCTAAAATTTGCAAAAGAATCCGAATCTCTGGATAACTCGAAATTATTTACCCATTTAAAAGCCTTTGATCATGAAAGTGGAAAAATTTGTTCATTTTATTTAGAGGCTGGAAAAATTATTTATATTAAATTTTGATGAGTTTTGCACTGAAGAAAACATTCAGAGGCTGTTTGATATAATGAAAACTATAGAATTTGATCACCCATGTGAGAAATTTCCTCTTATTTACATCATTAAATGATTTATTAGATTCAAAATATTTGATGTATTAAAGTTTAAAAATAAAGATTTATATAGTCGAAAAAAGTCCGGTAGAACCAATAGAAATGTAACTATTTTATCGCATCTTTAATTAAATTTTGTTAAATAAATTAATTTTTTATACTATAAATATCTTTTTTTTCCCAATCTCCTACGAGCTGATATAATATGACGAGCAATCTATTAAATTACTGTGAGATTATACAGAAAAGTCCACAGACTTCGAGACATAGGAAAATCAAGTCCATTTAGCGTGTGTCCAAATTTTGACAAGTTTTCAAAAATGACAGTTTTGTTTAGACTGACGTTTAATTTCACCTGACTTCTCGGTGAATGATTTCTTTTATGGGGGGTACATAAAATCTAAAATTTACGGCCATGAAGAAATTCAAAACTTGGAGCAGTTAAGGCAGAAAATATTTAATGCCTTTGACACTGTCACCCCTGATATGTTATCCAATGTGAAGAGGGGATTTTATGATCGTTTGGATTAATGCAAGAGGGAGGCACTTTTGAACAATTTTTGTAATTTTTTAAATTTCATTATCCTGTTTTTTACCGTTTACCCATTACCTACCTTGACGAACATGGGAAAACGAAGGTCCTTTTCAGGACCACAAATATTTTGATTGAGAAAATTGGTAACTTTTTTTGGATTAAAAAACAAAAGTTGTTAATATAATACCAATTTAAAAGTGTTTTAGTAGTTTTAATACACACTATGATATAAAATTTATTATTATTATAATGTACATTATTAATACTATTGTTCATTCGAAATGGCATTAAGGCCCAATTGCAACAATCATTTAAATTTTTCTTAAAGACAAGTAGAGCTTAGAATGAGCTGTATTTATATTTACTTTAATATTCACCTTAAATGAGGGAATTTGACTGATACAATTTTTGAATTTGAATTGTTTTTAATGATACTAACAATTTTAGTTCAATTTTTAATAAAATTTATTTAATATTAATAGAAATCCAAGAGATTTGATACCTCTTTTAGCGATTTATATCATTCTCAAATGAATTACAGGTGCCTTTATTTTTTATGAAAATCACACAGCTTTTTTCATAGTCGCTGCAGTTGCTATAGCTATAAAAAACTAATTTTTTAAGGTGTGAAAATTGCGACACACGCTAAATGGACTTGATTTTTCGTATGTCTCGAAGTCTGTGGACCTTTTTGTATGCCTCGATAACATATTGGTGCAGATTATTTTCACCCAAACAAATAATAACCCAAACTATACATTAATGCGGATTGTCTATAAACTTTTTCTGAAGGTCACAGAAACCTCAACGCGTAATTCGGTGTTCTTTCGCATCTGTTATAGGCAGGGCCAGTAAACTGAGATATACGGCCTTGAACGATCTGTTTTTGGGATAGTAATTTCCTTGGGCTCTAGATGGCGCATTTTTATTTGAATTTTTATAGTTGCCTAATAATTGCGTACAAAATTATTTTTGTAGTTGCCTGAATAGGCCTATTAATTATGTTCTGTCATTGTTCTGTATGTCAAATCAGTTTTACGTTTCCGGCTTCCTCCTTCCTCTTCAGTTGTGTTTTGCCATTGAGCGGAGATGTGCGTTTCGCTGTTTTCTGGTTGTTTCGCTGTGTTTTTTTGCAATCTTCATTTTACAATCGTGATTTTGTATTTTTGAATTTTTTTGAACTTTGTTTTGTGTTTGATTTTTAAGATCTTTATTAAAGGTAAGGTCTGAGTTAAAGGTCTTTGATTTATCTAAAAATTTTATTTAATAATCCGAGAAAGTGAGGTGAGGTAACATAACCAAGTCCTAATATTCGTGAATTTTATTTTTTAACAATGTAATATTTACGCCATATATTTTGACAATATAAAATCGATCAACTCCATATTTTTGTACATAAACTCCACAATGTTATATTACACAATTGTTCAAGTCCATATGTAAAAAATACATGTAAATAAAACATTGTTTCTAATGGACTTATATAGTCACTTTCTCTTGTATTCCAACGATATATGTTATATGTTCTTAAATCTGGTACTATAGTAAATATAATACTTTTTAATCTGGTGTTTTATTTCTTTGTAAAATGTTTCATGGTATAATTTTCTGTAAATTAAAATAAATTATTTATTGTAGGTTTTTATGCACATAAAATGATATAAGCAAACCATTTAACACTTTACTTAGTGTTAAATGGTAATAATAGTTTAATCTTTATATATAAATCCTTGTTTTTTACCATTTGACTTGTTTGCCAACTTGGGACAATCAGATGACTACACATTATTTTGTATAAATCTGATTGGCTCTAACTGGCGAACAAGTCAAAACGTCTTGCTTAAAAATAAATTGCATCTATTTAAATTTGCCGCCACCTTTGTTACTTTCCTGGGTGGCTAGATGGCGCCACTTCAATATACAGATTACAGATTTCTCTACAAATTTGAAATCGTTTTGAAACTAAACAATGCATGGGAGTTAGCGTTCTTCTTTAGTGTGTTCTGTGGTTATAGGTAATTTGTGCTTCAGCGTTAAAAGCTATGCCGTTTTTTGTAACATTGGTTAAACCTAAGTCGTATTATATTATATATTTTATTACATATTTTATATCGATATGGAAATTAATGCGTATAAAATGTTCAGTCATGTAAATAGCATTAATAATACTGGTTGTAATGTCTAGTTCAATACTGGTTCTGTCAGCCAGAATTAATACTGGAAATAAATAAAATAAATATACATCAGTGATTTCAAAAATATAACAGAACGTTTAAATAATTAATATAACAAAAAATTGATTATTCTTTACCAGAAATGTGATGATAAATTTATTTAATGTATAATTATTTTTTATTTTTATTAAAAAGTAAAATATTATTTAAAAAATTGAAGGGTAATAATACCTTAGTTTGATACATTAGGTACATAAAAAATAAATACAGGATTTTAAAAAGTGGTTCACCCCCTATAAATTTTTTATTCTTTCAGATAAAAGATCGAGATTTGGTATATTTCAGCATATGACATAAATCGGGATTGATTGACGTATCAATGAGTTTCAGTCACTTCCCGTTTCACTGGAAATGACTACTTCTTTTGATTTTTAATTTGTGCCGTCGGTGTTTTTTTACTTTATTTGATAGAAAATGACATTCTGAATAGAATGACATATCACATGTCAATTTTTGACACTTTCTCTTAAAAAGTGTATATAAATATCAATCTAGAGGCTCATGACTTTGTTAAAACCACTAAATTTTAATCAAGGAGGCTTGGAAAAATATATTTGATCGTCTAATGCTTTTCTTGTCCTGTTCTAGTAGGATAAAGAATGCCTAAGTCGTATTTTTAATCGTTAAAAATAAATAACTCATTTTTTTCAAATGGAATGAGGGTGGCTCATTAGCATATTTGGCAAAAACAGGTTTTTACGAATCACATCCTTGACATTTCGAGTTTACTTACAAATAAAATAAAATAAAAATACAGAAGGTACGGTTTAAAAATCAAAAATTGCAGTATTTACAGTGAAACAAGAAGTGACCGAAACTACTTCAATACGTTTATCAATTGTAATTTACTTCATATATTAAAATATCAGATTGGTTTTTTTATTATTTCATTCAAATAACTATCTACTCCACATGTTTATTTTTTGTCAATAATGACATGGATTGACTATTTCCATTCTTATAATCTTTGGAACAGTTGTTCCTAACAATTTTTATAAAGAGATATTTTTTGCGTAAAAAAGCACGGAAATGTATATTTTCCACCTTTTATACAGGTACGGGCGAAAAGTTATTACTCTTCAAAACAGTTTAAACACAATACATGTAGGTGGCGCCCTCTACAAATAGGAGTCTTACTTATATCAAAATAAAATTTCGCATGACTCCCAGACACCAATTTTTATCCAAATATTGACGTTACTTCAGAAATTATTTAGAAAAAACCGAAATAAAAATGGAACTTCTTCACCCTGTAGCCCCGAAACTAAGCATTCTAGGACATAGGTACATTTATACGAACTTTTTTATTTATTTTTATCTACAGAATATTCTGCCGAAATTTTCGTAATACAGTTTTTGCTACCCTGTATTAAATTTTTAAAATTTAGTATTATATAAATAAGTTTATGTTAAATTTATATTTATGGATATAACAAGACCCACCCGATCCGCCAAAGCAAGCCAAACGAAAACTAGAATTTATTTCCATACCTTTTGAAAACGTATGCAAATGGAGACAAATATTTCTTATTTGTACATCCAACTTACATGCCCTACCTATACATACGCTTCTTTATACCTGAAAGAGTTCATATTTTACTTCAGCCTACTCCGAAACCCGTCATTGAAATCCCCCATAATAAATTTAACGTATTTTTAGGTTATCCGTTATTCAAGTTGTACGATAACCAGGCCATAATACCCTTTGCTCAGAATTGGGGCTTGATAACGAAAATATATCCGTTGCACGAGGAGGAGGCGCTGAAAAAGCTGGCTGGGAGTTGGTACATGCCGAGGTTCATGAGGCAGCCCATCGGTAAGTTTGCGGTCAAAGTACAGTATGATAAAAAAAATGTTATTCTATTTAGAATGTTATTTACTAACTAAATATTATTGCCCGGTTGCGTAGAGGTACAGGCTTTCGTCTACCAATCTCAAGGTAGTGGGTTCGAATCCCACACCCAGCATTTCATCAGCCGACTATTTTTATTAAAATAAAAACAGTTTGGTACGTAGGTCGACTCAGCCTTAAATGAGTACTTGGGATTCACAATCTTGAGGTAATAATAGGCGGTTGAAGCGTAGTGCTAGCCACATTACCTTCCTTGTATACCGAACGGTTCTAGTATGGCAAGCTGTATCTTGCTACTCCCAAGGTGTCAAACGCTATATACGGGAGCTATTATTATTATATTTTCTATCAAATATTAAGGTGCCTGGTGGCGTAAAGGTACAGCTCTAGTCTACCAATCCAAAGGATGTGGGTTCGAATCCTACAGCCGGCATTTCATCAGCCTACCATTTTTAATAAAATAAAAATAGCTTCGGTACCTAGGTCGGCTCAGCCTTAAATGAGGACTTCGGATTCACAATCCTGAGGTAATAATAGGCGGTTGAAGTGTAGTGCTAGCCATATTACCTTCCTTTTATACTGAACGGCTCTAGCATGGCAAGCTGAACCTTGCTACTCCCAAGACGTTAAAAGCTATATCCGGGAGCTGTTATTATTAATATTTTCTATCAAATAAGCCAAAAAATACCGTGGGCGCCCTTTAAAAATCAAAAGTTCAAGTCATTTCCGGTGAAACAGGAAGTGACGGGAACTAATTGAATACGTCAACCAATCAAGATTTATGTCGTGCACTAACCTACCAAATTTTGTTTTTTCTATCTGAAAAAAATTTAAAAAAAATTGTGTATGCGCTATGTGCGCATATTTGAAATGAAACTTCTTACTAACAGCTATTAAACTGGAGGATTTGAAGGACATGTTTGAAAAAGTGACATATAATGCTGTTTTAATATAAATGTTATTGTCAATTTGTTTCCGTAATCTGTACATTTTCTGTTTCGCCAATAGCCTGCAAATGCTATGCTGCACCCACAATACACACTTTTACACACGTTTAAATATATATAAGAACAGAAAATTTTTTGAACTTAACCAACAGTTTGTATTTATAATGGTTTACAGTAATTTTTTTTCAAATAAAAGTTCGAGTGGCTTAACTCTAATAACTCTAATTCTGACGTAGCTAAATGATTTACCTTACCTTAATTTATTTAAAACATATCAATGAAAATATGTATAAAAATTTACTTCCTAGCACACGACCAGAGGATATTGATACCGAGATCAAGTTTACTATAACTCTGGTCTTAGCTTTAAATCAAATGTTTTTTGGTGTTTGCGCAATCCTTACCTGTCAAGGTCATGTCGTGTTGAATTTTTGTATTTTTACTCCAATCGCGCGTAAAAAGTTTCACTTCAAAAAGTTATAGAAGTTGTTATCCATTTTTTTTGAAAAACACGGTATGTTCCACAAAATTAAGATTTGAACACGCATTTTTAGCATTTAGGTATAGCAAAAGTGTGAGGACAATTTTTTCCAGTTAATGTATAGGAATATAATTATTACAATATTTTTATTATTTTTTACAACACGTTTCAGGTATTCTCTAATTAGACATATTTTACATAAATAAAATCATAATTTATTGTTCGATGCATTTTGTTTGGATTGTCTGGAGCATTACTTACTTACTTACTGCCATTACTCGGTGAAGAGAGTATTTGACACGCATCAGAAGATGGTTACGCAAGGCATTTCCCTTCGCAAGCTTTTCTGTAACTGAAAAGCCCAATACGTGATGGATGTTATCTCTCTTCCGCACTCAGGACATTCAAAAATCTCATTACTTTGTTGCCTCTTTACTTTTTGGTTGTCGCTGTTAACTGAGTTTACAATTCTTCTCCATTGCGTTCTATTGTGCGCTGCTTCCTCCCACTGATTCCGTGTGCTTTTACCCTTTAAGTTTTCATGGAAAATATCCTTGTATCTTTTTAGTTGTCCACCCGGTTTCCTCTTACCGTCTGCAAGCTCACCGTAAAGAAGATATTTCTGTAGACGGTTTTCTTGCATCCTGCATACGTGGCCAGCCCATCTTAAACGGGATTTAGTAATCATGACTTCAGCGCTCTCACAGCTTGCTTTTTCAAGGAGTGATACGTTTGAGACATGGTGGTACCATTTGATTCTTAACAGTTGTCTAAGGTGTCTCTGTTGCAACTTGTTTAATGCGCTTATGTGTCGGCGGTACGGCATCTGCACCCAGGTTTCGCTTCCATATAACATGGGGGGAATTATTGCTCGGTACACTGCAAGTTTCATTTTTGTGCTCAAGTCATAATTGTAGAATACCCTGCCTTTTAATTTCCAAGATGCTCTTGAGGCGCTGCTAATTCTGTGCTGAATTTCAGAGTCGATATTGGCCATTTCAACTGCCGAGGTAATTGAATTGCTCTACATATTCCAGTAGTTCTTTTCAGATGTTTCTAGCAGTGTTATGATTTTTCAGGGGAGTGCACACGATATTAGTTTGATCGATGTTCAGCTTAAGGCCCAAAGCCTCGTATGCCCAGATATACAGGGTCCGGCAATAGTGCGTCGGGCATTTGTAGCTCCTAGAATAAAAAACTTGAGAATTTTGTTTAAGTGCAAACCTAAAGTATGTACCAGGATGTATTTCAGGAAAATATTTTAACTTCTAAAGGGTGGCACAAAAAAGTGTGAGAGGATCTTGATGATTTTTTTTAAATGGAACACCCTGTATATTATTGCATTTTTGGCTTCCTTTCAGACAACTTTACATAACCCTAAGATATGAATAAATATATTTCGATAGTTTCAGAGATATTAAAAAATAAATCAAAAATATATATTTTTCAGCCCTTCTTTAAAAAAATATTAAAAATACAAGAACTGTTCTGAAATCAAAACTATATTAGGTACTTACTTTAGATAGTCTGTACTTACTTTGCTATAAATATGAAAATCGTAAGTTATACAGGATGTTCAAAATTCTACGCGAAACTTTCTAAAATATAAAATACTTTCTCTTCGTTTTTTTTAAATGGAACACCCTGTATATTATTTTTTCAATAGACAGAGAATTAAAAAATGAACATTTTTTGTATTAAGAGTATTTAAATTTTTTTAACGGTTTCGCAGATATTTGCGGGTTTGTCTTTCATATGGCATTTTCCACAGTAAATTTTTATCAAAGCCACCCAATCATTTTTCTCTCGTATTTTACCATTGAAAGCGCCACGTGAAATAATACTGCGCGTATCTGCGAAACCGCTAAAAATTTTGAAATACTCTAAATGCAAAAAATGTTCATTTTTTAACTCTCCATCTAATAAAAAAATAATATACAGGGTGTTCCATTTAAAATAACAAAGAAAAATTATTTTATATTTCAGAAAGTTTGGCGTAGAATATTGAACATCCTGTATTATTTACGATTACCATATTTATAGCAAAGTAAGAACAGACCATCTAAAGTAAATACCTAATATAGTTTTGATTTCAGAACAGTTCTTGTATTTTTAATATTTTTTTTAAGAAGGGCTGAAAAATATATATTTTTTATTTATTATTTAATATCTCTGAAACTATCGAAATATATTTATTCATATCTTAGGGTCATGTAAAGTGATCTGAAAGGAAGCCAAAAATGCAATAATATACAGGGTGTTCCATTTAAAAAAAATCATCCAGGTCCACTCACCTTTTTTTGAGCCACCCTATAGAAGTTAAAATATTTTCCTGAAATATATCCTGGTACATACTTTAGGTTTGCACTTAAACAAAATTCTCAAGTTTTTTATTCTAGGAGCTACAGATGCCCGACGCACTATTGCCGGACCCTGTATATCTACAGCATTTCTTTTTGCAACTAAAACGCAGTTATCAGCATATTGAAGTTCTGTGATGAATTTTATAATTTAATTAATTTTTTTGCCCTGCGTCTTTTTATGTTGAACAGATCTCCGTCATACCTGTATCTATTATGGAGCATAGAGTCTGGAGCACTTGTTTTATTCTTCTACCTATACTGTGTAATAAAAAAAATACTATACGATAAGAACTCTATATTCCACAGTCGATATTTTGGCATAATATTATTCCTAATCATACTTGGTTACATTATACGCTTTCCGCTCTGCATCAAGCGGTCTGTTAAACAAAATAGAAGAGGCCGAAAGGCGGACTGGAATTTGCGAAATAAAATGTTGGTTTGCATAGAATCCGGCATGGGAAATTGAATTTTAGAGGGTCGTCGCATGATCGGCAAAAATATATTGTAGGCATGTTTGTTTTTTAGTTGGAAAATACACTGGTTTCGTATATTTGGCGGCGGATTTAAAAACGCTGTTTGCATATTTCCAGCTCCATTTGCATAACTTTGGTTTTAAAATAATTGTATTTTTTTGGTGTGTCGGCTGATGTTTAGAGAGCATTTTAGAGATTTATGCCTGGATTTATGGATATTTTTTAAAAATACACAAATTTATGTTTTTTGATTTTTACATTGAATTCAGGTTATTGTATGTTATGCGCATGGCCATCGCTGTACAACGAAACATACGAGAGTCTCCACCAATCAGGTTGGTCGAGTACAGGATTGAATTGAAGCAGTTATTTTTAGAAAATATTTATCTTCTATAATAGACAGAACGAAAGAACTCAGTTAATTAAATATATGTACAGGGTGTCCCATTTTGGTTGAAATCTTACAGTATCTCCGTTATTAGTAAAGATAGGAGGATGCGGTTTGTCAAACCGATAATGCTGTCGACAAAATTTTCATAACTCCCTTCGTTTCTGAGCTACACTGTCGTTTTGCAAATTTCGCAATTTTGGACAGCCGCCATATCTTCGTTATTGTGAAAGGTATCGAGAAGGTTAAAACTGATTCTTGTAGATTTTTTTACGTAGAATACAGTGGCGTAGTCTGTTTTCTACGAAA